AAGTTTATTTGTTTACTTTTGAGAGAAAGAGCACAAGCAGAGGAGGGTCAGGGAGAGAGAGGAAGACACAGAATCTGAAGCAGGCGCCAGGCTCCGAGCTCTCAGCTGAGAGTTCGATGTGGGGGCTGGAACTCACCAAAGGGGAGATCATGACCTGAGCCGAAGTCGGACACCTAATCAACTGAGCCACGCAGGCACCCCTAGAACTAGCAAATTTTTTTTAATTGTCCATAGTCAAGTTTCCTTTTTAGAATTGAAAAACAGAACATTAACGATACACCATTTTTCATGGCGAATCTTCAAAATTATAAAATAGTACTGTAGAATTCAGCTATGAAAATAATGTAGAACTTACTATGCCCTGATATTGTGCACCTCAAACAGGAAACTGCCTGTCCTGGGGTTGAGGAGAAGCAAAGCTGAGTGACACCATACAGATAGTGGAAGAGCCAACACTCGGTGCCTCAAAACAAGGAAATATTCCTAGAGAAAATGATTCGGCCTCCCTTGGGACTACAGAGGTGGCCAAGGCATACTTGCCTAGGGCTGTGACCTGGAGTATGATGCTGACAAGTTCTAAGCCTTTGCCTGGTGTTTGTGCCGCATTCAGTGAGAACATGATTTTAAAAGTTCCATTTAGGTGGTGGTGGTTTTCCTTTGTATTATGAGGCAGCCTTAGAGCAAGGCCTAGGAATGAGAATATAAATAGACTTCAGGGCACCTGGGGGTGCTCAGTCAGTTGAGCGTCTGCCTCTTGATTTCAGCTCAGGTCATGACTTCACAGTCTGAGACTGAGCTCTTGTGTCAGGCTCTGTGCTGGGCACGGAGCCTGCTTGAGATTCTCTCTCTCCCTCTTCCTCTGCCCCTCCCCTGCTTGCATGTGTGCTCATTCTCAAAAATAAAAAGAGACAGACAGACAGGTTTTAGACACAGCTCTATAAAAGCATGCAAGGTTTTTGTTTTCTTGCAGTTTGAGTAGAGATCTATATAGATTACATCGTATTAGGGAAATATTTATCTTCACAGATATGGAGCTAGACTCTGATTATTAATACTCAGTTGGAAGATATGCACTATAGGTGGATATCTGGAGCCATTTGGAAGATGCAGGTCATGCTGGTAGGCGATTCTCCAAAGGTACCGGGTTGGGATCCAAACCCTGACCACTACTGTCCTGCTCAAGTTTCTCTGTGAAGGAGATCAAGGCTGCACATACAGACTTGGGGAAATGTACTATCAGAGATCATCATGAATGTTTTGGTAAGGAAAGGGAGACAGATTTCAGGGCAAGACCAAATTCAGTGGACAATGAATGGCATTTCTCTAAAGGGGAGAAGGAGGGAGAAAGGGAGGTGAGGGGGTTGTCCTGGATGGAGGTTTGGAGGATTTTCTCCCTCTAGAAGCATAAGAATGAGGAGCAGGGAGTAGGGCTAGGCACAGAGATGGGTCCTCAAGACAAGTACGAGTTTTACCTCATTTGGGTGGGGACTTCCCCTTTGGCCTATGGATGCAGTCATGCATCATGTACTATTAATTGCTTTTAATTAAGATAAAATTTGCATAACAGAAAAATCACCTTTTTAACTGTTTTAAAGTATACAGTTCAGTAGTTGTTAATACATTCACAATGCTGTGCAACTACATACTTATAAAAATCCTTTCCCTCCTGTGCTCTAATTCCCTTTAGCTGCCCTAATCCTTCATTAGTATCTCCATTGCCTACTCAGCCCTGAGTGGACATGCTAAGGAAGCCAAGAACAGACCAAAAAAGGGAAGTGTGGTCTGCCCCATAGTCACCCCTGTACTGATGACAGTGTAAACATAGCAGCTTCCTGACGGAGGAGGAATACAGCCTAGGAGCTGGAAGCAGGCAGTGGCCCCCAGTGAAGGACCTGGGGGGGTGGGGATGGGAGAGAGGTCCCTCTCCTGACACACTGCAAGAGGGAGACCCACTGGCTTGAGGCTGGGAGTAGGCGGGGGTGGGGGGGGGGTGGAACAACGAGAAGCAGAGAGTTCAGGTTACACGAGGAAGTTATGCTATAGCACTGCATCCACTGTCATCTGTGGTAGTCAGATCGCATGGAGTCACCACAAACACCGTATACTGAATGCTGAACCATTACTCCTAGGGGACATACAAGGACAGGCTCCTGCCTGGTCACAACATTTCTGTCAACGAATTAATACATAATTTTGTTTCGTGTGTATTCCTGTTTTTATAAAACACATCTTATTTAATATATATTGTTGATCCATTAGCATTAAACTCATGGTCAACAGCACTCATGCCCTAACGAAGCTAACCTAACCCACATATTCTCTCTATAAAGCATATGGCAGCCTTCTTGAGCTTAGGGACAGTAGCCAGCACTTTAGCACTATGCATGGGGGACATTTGAAACAGTGAAATCACCAACAAAAAGCTCAAAAATGTGAAAATCATGGTGCTAAATAGATCATAAAAATGACATTCATTTATAGGATAAGAACTCAATCAAGAAGGCAGTGTCACGTTGTTCAACCTCAGCTGAGTGACAAATTTTTCACCACTTTGCACATGTCTGTAGATAACTGTGACGGCACCAAGAGTATTGACTTTGATGTCACAAACAGATTTTAGTGAGTAGGACAACTCACAAATTCAGAATGTGCTTGTAATGAATGTTGACTAGATCTGGTCCATCCACACTGTACCTACAGTGCTTCTGTACCATTTCATGGAGCTGACAAA